ACCCTTGTAAGGTTATTTTGTCCAACAGTATCCCAGACCTCATTAAGCGACGTCCTCGTCGCTCGGAGAGCTATATGCACATAAAGGTGTTTTCCGACAAGCAAATCGTCAAATCCGAGTCCTGGAATGAAATGTGGTTTCAAGATTGACGTCGTCACCTTACTTTTCATTACTATTGCCGGGATTTTATCCCGGGTCTCTCATATAAAATATAATGACTTGAAGTGGGGATACTTGATCTGTACTACAGTACATGAAATAGTTAAGTTTGACAACGCGCCTTTCGTTCCCCCACACCCTTAGACTTTGGTTCAGGTATTCGTTGGTTGTTTTCAGGGCTGGTGTTCGTGTACGAATTCAACCCGTAAAACTCGGGTCCTAACCGAGACCTTGGTTGTTCAACTCTCGATATTACTTGTCCAAAGTTGCCTGTTGTCCTGCCCGAAGCCTTATACAAGAGGACAACGGTCTCCATCTCGACCCACCACAGTCCTGCTGATCAGGCCGGAGCTGCGGCCCAACGCGTTGTTGCTTATCGATGGTTACCCTTGTTGGTTACGCAACGATGGGTTAGTCATCCTATGAATTTCAAACTAATCTCGACCCCTTCGACATCTGCCAGCGTTGTTCCGGTCTTGTTTCTGATCGCCCTGCCATCAACGAATCCAGTAAGGTTGTCCCTTGCGTCAAATATATAGTTATATCCTCCAAGACCTAGTGGAATAGCCAGTAGATTCAGGTGAACAACCGCCCCTACTTCCTTGATATATCTAGGATGCAGAGGTTCCTTGTACCTGATAGGCGATCGTATTTGACGAGGCACACACGTTTCACAGTACCTTCGTGTCATTTCAAACATTTCTTCCCAGTAGTAGAGTTTCATCGTCTTTTTATAAGTAGCCGCGAAACTTCGATGTCCTCCAACTATCTTATAATGCAATGCGGCTACTACGTCAATCTGACGATTCCTCCCACATACGACACGTCGCGGCGGCCCCCTCTTGTCCGTGATGAACAAATGACCACCTCTTACCACATAGTGGTCTCTCATTATGAGAGTTTTTTCGCTCACTTCTCTCTCTCTTTTATCTCCTTAGAGGAGCAACCCCATTTCTAAATAGAATCCATCGTACTCCTCCTCCCTGAATTCCCTTGAGATCTCCTCTTGTCCGAATTCTCCTTACGTCTCTTCATCAAATTCATAATCATCCCCAATAATTATCTCATCAGCCTTTACCATTCGTCTCTCATCATTTGCTTGAACCTGTAACAGCGAATTTGTCAGGTACTACATTCTTCCCATCATGGCTACCTGCTCGTCTGCCTGTTGGACTCCTGCTTCGATCGTTCACGGTTCATCCATTATCCTATAGTTTTCTGCCAGAGCCAACTCCATCATCCACTCCGTATTTCTTTCTCCCCAAGAATCCTCTTCCTCTAATGGTGTGAGTATCAGCGAAGGCTCTTTCATAAATTCGGGGGGTGGATGCCACATTGAATTTCCTCTCCTCATCTCCTTACATTCGACAAACATGAACCAACAGTTCACATGAGTTCGCATATCTTCCTCTTCCTCTAAAAATCCGTCTACCAGAGGCGTTTCTTCATTAAATTCTCCCTGGTTTCCCCACTCAATTCTGCTCATGCCGTCCGCCCTGTTCTTGTTCCCAGGGATCCGCTCTAACTGGAAGTCGAACATCGAGATATAGGTGAGCCATCTGGCTATGGTCGGATCTGAGGGCGAGAAGTTATTGAGCGAGTACATAAGCGTCGTTGGATCGATCTTTAGTACAAACCTCCTCCCAAAGAGGTAATGCCTAAAAATTCTTAGGCAATGCAGGACCGCCAAGGCTTTTCTTTTAAACTGCGAGTAGTTCCTTTCTGTCGAGTTGAGTTTCCTGCTTTCAAACCTCAGCGGCCTCTCCTTTCCTTCACTGTCTGCCTGAATCAGGACGCCTTCTAGAGCGGTTGGCCCAGCGTCAGTTTCAACTATGAAGGGTCGCTCCATAGTCGCATCAAAGTCTGGTACACCTAGTACCATTCCTCCTTCTCTGAATTCCTTCTTCAATTCTTCCACCACTTCTTCTTGATGGTTTCCCCACTCCCATTCCCAATCCTTCCGGACTAGCTTTCTTAGATGCTCTGTTTTGCTAGCAAATCTTTCTATGAATCTCCTCCAAAACCCACAGGTACCAAGGAAACTTCGAACTTCTCCTACATTTCTGAAGGCAGTGGGTCATTCTAGGATCTTATTGGTCTTCTTCTTATTAGGGCGCCGACCATGCTCGTTGCAAATGTATCCCAGAATGGTTACCTCCTTTGCGCATTGTCTCGACTTCACTCCACTGGCGGTGAGGTTGTATTCTTCTAGTAATGATAGGACTTCTCTCAGCCCTTGAACATGCTCCCATACAAACCTCCTTACCCCTGGAGCTACCTCTGACTCATCCTTCTCAATCGGGCTCTTAACTGCAACATCATTTATGTCTGGCTCGGTGATCTGAAGGCTGATTGGCTGCATAACCCTAATCATGCTTCGTTGCACCATGGCCACAGCATTGGTCTATCCTTGCGGCACAACATTCATATGGACCAATCCCCTAGGCGTGTGACGGTCTGCCGGATAGACTGGAAACTGATCATATCCAGAGTAGAGGTCGATGAGGGACACAATCGACCTTCCTGCACAAGCTTCTGACAACTGGTCAACATTGGGCTAACCTCCTGCATCCCTTACGGTTACGGCGTTTAGTCGTTGGAGGTCTTGCACCCATCTGACACTTTATTTGGCTTTACAAAGCAGAACCATGGAGACGCGTACGGTCCACTGGAATACCCTGCAACATCCGTATAAAATTTTCCATCTAGGTACTCTACCACCCTTCTGCGATCCTCGGGGTTGGGGTACTTAGCTCCTCGGACATTTCATGGTTCATGAGGCACCGTATGAATGCGGATCATTTCGATCTTGTCCACATCCAGCCTCCCACGTTGATCATCGTTGAAGGCATATGCCCCATATTTTTCACGTATCAGTTCTTTCACCAAGTCCTCCTCTTGCCTTGTCAGAAACCCAGGTTCCCCTATTATCAGTTCTTTTTCAGTCTCATCGTCGATACGACAAGGCCCATTCGGATGTCTTCCCTCATTCGATGTATCAGTTCTCTTTCCTGATCATAATGCACCCCTTCTTCCCGACTCACTAGAACTGGCACAGGGTGATACTTCTTATCTACCGTCTTGTACCTCCTTTTGGAGCCCTGCTTGAGCCAACCCCTAAAAAATGCTGACCGGGAGCTTGAGCATTTGGCGTATGCGGGGATGCTATTATCTGAGAAAAAAGAGGCGGTCGGTAAACGAAATCAACCCTTCCCCCTTCTGGATCGTCTTGGATCCTTTCTGCGAGTGCCCTGACTGCGTCCGGATCAGCCATCCTATAGGCCGATACCAGTTTCACTGCGTCACTGATATTTGTTAGACTTAATACAAACCCTTTAGCTTCTTCGTCATCTGACTCCTCTTCTCCTTCTTCTCATTCCAGCTCTCTCCTCCTATTCTATGATTCCTCGAATGTGTAGGATTCGGCATTGAGCCTGTTTTTCGAGTTCTGTGGGCCGGTATTTCTACAGGTGATAACCTCAAAATTCCCACAGGCAAGATCACAGAAGATGACGAACATGATATCGTCGTGCTTGTTCATAATGAGCGACTCGGATCTGCATAGGAATGACCTGTCCAATAATATTGGAAGATCCAAGTTGGGCATGACGTAGAAACACGTACGTATCTTGACTTTTCCAATCTCTATCACCACATTCGACGCAACCCCCGTGTACCTGGTCCTGTCGCTGGCTCCATTGAGAAACCCGCAGTCGTTTTCATCTACCTCCAGTCCTAGTTCTACTGTCGCTTCTCCGTTTATAATGTTCATTTCCGCCCCGGTGTCGACCATTCCAGGATACATCTTCCCTTTATCATAACATCTATGGACCTTGTTCCCACGAACTTCCAGTCCATTTTGCTTCCCGCCACGCTCCAGTTTGCCTCTTTGGGAATCAGGTCCCCCATCCTGACCGAGGCCACTCTCCGGCGTGACAACCTCGCCTTCACCATTTCTCTTAACTTAGGAGCCAAAGCTAGAATTTCCTTCAGATTTAACAATTCATTGTGACCTTTTAGTAGCTGATTCACTAGACCTTCCAGGTCTAACCCTTCTTCGATCGACATCTGGTACTTTCTCTTCTTGCTTGGCGCTTCGTCATTTTTGGACCTTCCTTCTTTAACTTCACCTTTCCTTCTCTTAGCCCTGATTTCTGCCTGCCTCTCTTCTTCTTCCTTAATCTTCTCATCCTCATCTTCGTCACCCTCTACCATGACAGGTGGTTCTTCCTCTGCAGGCTGGGAAGTCTGGGCTTGCTCCTTTGGAGGATCCCCTCCTGCGGGTCTTCTTGTAGCGAACAGAATTGTTCCTTTTACGCTCCTTTGACCCCCACTGTTCTTTGCGGCCATGTTGGCCCTTAACATTTTTGGGTTGGGCTTATTTGACCCATCTCCCGATCCTCCACATCCCATGGTAAATACTTTCGGGCACCCAGCCCCTTCTTTCCCCGCTTCTTCACATATCCCTTGAAGCCTCAAATGCAGCCTTTGCATTTTATTCACCAGATCCTCCATCCTATCAAACGTGTCCCTGACGTTAATCCTATCATAATCCTCTTCTGCTTCTTCTTCCACAAGGGGTACGTCGTCCTCGCTTTCTTCGATCCCCATCCGGCTCAGTTTTTCTTCTAGTTCAGTTACATCTTCTACTCGTACGACTGGTCCTTCCTTTTCTTGTCACAATCTGAACATTCCCGGGGCGTTGGGACCTAGCGTGGCTATGCGAAGGGCCTCTTTTCTAGTGCCTCCCGGAATCTCATGATCGATCGGCCTTCATGTTCTGTGAAACACCTCGCCATCTATGTTTGATGTTATGAGTCCATCGCGCTCGTCAAGTTTCCTGATGTGGCATCGCTTTACTGTATGTCCTTTGATTCCACAGTGGGTACAAATGCATTCGCTGTAGTCTATCCATCCTCTGCCAAAACCCTATCCATTCCATGACCCATTTCCTCTACCAAACCCCCTTCCATAGCCTTGGTCATAACCACGACCATACCCCTGCTGGTATTCTTGCCCTTCCAGATTCGCACCTCCTTGGAGCTGCCCCAAGTTTCCACCTTGATACCCACTTCCTCTATTTTCTGCTCCTCGTTTCCCTGGTCCCTGATTCCTATCAGCATTCCTACCTCTTCCACATCCTTGTCCTTGTCCTTGTCCTTGGGACCTGTTCTGGTTTTGACCTCCCTGGCGACTCGATCCTGGTTGGTTGGAACTGTTCCGTGTTTTGGTCTCCTCCCAAATTCTGATTCTGGGGTAACATAGGATATGGACCCTCCGTAGGCCATGCTCCCATAGGCGGACCCACGGGCCATTTACCATATTGTGCCGTGTTCGTTGACGGCTCCCATCTATACTGGACTATCGCCTGTTGAGTTACTTATCCTTTTCCCGACCCTTGTCCTCCGATAGCGATATTTTTAGCCTTCCTCTTACACTTTGTCAGTTTGCCCGTTCCTTCTGGTCCTCCATCTTCTACCTCTTTATCTCCATCTTCCTCTTCCTTTCTTCTCTTTTCTGATGACTGTCTCACTGTTAACACTTTCGATGATGTCACTCTTTCCTTAAGCTCTTTTATTTCATTTGCCATATTGCTCAACACTCCTCCAAGTACACTATCCGTTTCTGGGATCGTCCCAACTGCCTTTCTTTTTTTTCGTTCGACCTTGATTTGGTGATGGAGCAATTGGTCCATGTCTCCAGCCGCGATGTTCCTTTTGATGGTTTCCCAAATTGTCTTCCTCCCGGCTGCTCCCCCTCGGGTTAGCTCCATCGCCTCATACCCAGAGAATTTCCCTAGGAATATGACGCACTGCATTTCTTCAGACAGTCCCGGGACCCTCTCGACTGTCTTTTTGAATGTGTTGGCGAACGCCCTGATCGTGGTGAAGTCATCTCTGTTCATGTTATAGAGATGGTCAATCGTGAGCAAGCCATCTCCTAGCTTAAACATCTTTTGCATGCCTCTTTTGAACTCAGCCCAATCATTGTTGGACTTTCTTGCTACCTCTTCTACATCAGAGGTGCACTCCCACCATACGTATTCAAACAACTGGGCAAACTTCTCGGCTGGTGTCAACTGGTTGAAGATTTGCTCGAGTAGTTCCAACCAATGAGTCACCCTATCTCCCTTGAAAGGGAAGATGTCTATTCTCGGTAGGTTAGACCTCTTTATCATTCTCTTTTCTAGTAACTTGACGATTTCCGTCGCGGTGATTGGCGGCCCTCCATTGGCGCTGGCATCACCCATCTTTCCCATTTTCTTTCTGGGTTCCTGCTAGAACGTAGACCCTGTTAAGACACACAAAACGACCATTGATCCACCCTTTTCGTCACTATCTTGACATATCCATTACTCTTGTCACTCGTTTTTACCCTATACGACCTTTCGCACCCCTTTTCTCTCAACCAAGTATTTCTTCTAGGAGCACCAAGTCCCCGTGCCAAAAGCATTTAACCATACCAAATAAAGAAGGAATTTCATCTATAAATTTTTCAATACATCCTTCCCGGCAAAGATTGCGCCAGTAGGTCGATAGATTTTCTAAATGGTAGATGCGTAGGTACGTGTTTACTACGCATAGTACATTATAGAAGTTCCTTTCTTTTAATCTTGGTCTCATTTCTAAGTTTAGACGGTAAACAACTTCCGACGCCTCGAACTCGAAGCCCATCTCTGGAACCGATGTTGCTGAGAGTTCGCTCGCTTTATATTTTCTATTCTCCAAAATGCTTCGTTGATTATAAAATTCGAAAGCGTGGTCTTAACGTACTACGTTGAATATGTGAATTCGGCTGCCCACTTAGCATCGATCGATTTTATAACCTCCCCTTCTTCTCCCCAATACATCTTCCTTGAAAACCCGTCAAGAGTCATTCCGACTATCAACACGTACTTAGAGACGGGACGACTTTCCCCTATCGCAGGATCGATCGAGTGTGCCCTCCAGAGAAGGGCCGGTAGATAAAGTGTCACCCTTACTATTGCCTGCCTTTCCCTTGTGGTCCAACCAGTTTTTATCCAAAGGAAGGCTTCCTGTCTTATCGGTATCCCTCACCGTAGGTCCAATTCTTCATCCAGATCTATCGTTCTTTTCGACAGTGTCATCTTAACCCCTCCTTCCTTTGGCTCGGGAAGGTTGATCAGAAAGCTCCGATCAGCGAACCACATTAAAGAAGCCATCCTAGTATTCCTGTTACAACAGCCAAAGAAAGAACCTTTCCTTTCTTAGTAACCGCTCAATTTTCATTTCTCAACAACTCTCTATGTAAGTCTTCCCTAAGCACCCCTTCCTATTTGATCGAAAATCCCCTGTTTCAGTTCTTTCCAGTAGATATGCATATCTGCCCAATCGTATTGACGTGCATACAATTCGACACGTGATAGTATAAATTGTCGATCCCTTTCTTCAATCAAAGACCCTATCTCTAGGTATATGTAGTATACCAGCAGAGGGGTAGGTGCGTGATATTCTCTCTCAAGTATTGCCATTGCGGCTTCCACAGCCCTTTCCACTCGGGTCCTCCCTCCAAAGATTGCATCTACGATGAACATGGGGAGGGTCCTTCTTAGATACGCTGCTGGCGGAAGAAATTTCATCGCCTTTCTTACCCTCACAGTTCCTATGACCCCCTCAAATCCATTCATACTAGCACCTCTCCTTCTAGACTCGAGCGTTGACTTTGCTATCCATAATAGCCTCGAGAGAGATCGATCAATACCTAGTACTAAATTTATTATGATAGCTTGCAGGTTTTCTGATGCGATGTACAGGGTAACCCTCTCTACCGCACAGTTTTCGCCTCTAACGGATCCAGACTCAATCCACATGAAAGTTTGTTTTCCGACAGAAATCCCCCAACAATACCCTGTCTCTTCATTCTCTTCGTGGCGACTGGGAAGATTCATCATAAGGCCACGCCTCATTTGCACGGGCTCTCTGATCGTGATTTGATATCGGGCAGAAGCCATCTTCTTTTCTTTGGTATACTCCACCTACTACACAACACAATTCAGCCCACATCCTTCCATCAGACTTTCAACTCCAGGATCTGACTAGTTTTCCTTTTTTATCCTGCCACCTTCTTTGACATTTTTGGCCCTTATATAATCTTCTTATACAACAAGTAAGATATTAACCCACTGATCTCTAACTGACACAATATAAACATTAGGAGTGATAGGCTCATCCTCCTATCAGGCGACGTAGACTGCGAAACCACAGGAGGATCAGGTACACGTGGTACTTCGCGGGACCCTTGTTGGTGAGGCAGGGGAAGGACGGTCAGCTGCCTCTCTTGAGACAGAGGGTAAGGGCTATGATGCAGACGACTAGGCAGATCGAAGTGTGGTGGAGATTCTCCGTAACGCAGCGTACCTATATCAGAAATATGCCATTTCGTAAGGGTCTGGGATATGCATGCGCCTCTCCTCCCGATACCGTCTCGCCCTCAATCCTTCGTCCTTCTCTTCTAAGCCTTCATCATCTTTTTTCCACTCCTCCCTTTCTCTGGTCAAGTCCACAGGCCTTTCTGGCACCTTCCCCTGTCTGCCACCTCTTCCTCTACCGGTTCCGGTCGCACGGCCCTTAGGTGCCATATTCGCTAACTCTTAGTATAAGTAGGACAATCGTACTTATGTGTATTTAGCCCTTATTTTACACACCGATTTATTTGGAGCAACTACTCGTCACCAGCTATCTAAGTTACCGTATTCCACTTAGAGTCTTAGTTAATTACCGACTTTTTAATAATTGTCGTTCTGCCTGGATCTTGCTTTACCCAACTCCGCTCACTAAGGACCTTGGCTAAAAACGAGATCCCCGGCAATGGCGCCACCTGTCGCACGAGGCAGTCCCACACCCATACGCAGAGTAGTTTCTGGTGTTCGACCTCACGGTCGTGTCACGCAGGAGTTTCTTTTTGTCAGTTTACGCAATACCAACTTCGACCGCGCGCGCGTGCTACACCTCTTGCGACTGCCTACGACAGGTTAGGGTCCCGCGAGGTACAACATACCTCCACCTGCGGGAGCTGTCACCATCCCTCAGGTGGGCGTATCCCTGCTAAGTTACTGACCCACATACGAAGACTTTTACATGTAATCGCAGAGGTAGGCCAGCCGAGGGTGTTTTCTCGATCGCCGTAGCATAGGCATACGCGCGGTAGAACGCCTTAAGACTGACCCGTATATCGGGACCGGAGTGCTAACTCCCCGGACCGACTATCTTATCAGGTCGATTTCTCGGACAGTCTTCCACGCTAAGTTAACTATGACAATGATTCTATGTCCCCTTTGTTGACCTTATGGAAATGCCAAAGTCAAACCCTTAGTAATCTCTCATTCTTCTCAAAAGAAGTCCCAGACAAAATGACTTCCTAGGTACCGACCAGCCTACGATCCCATTCACAAATATATGTATGTATGTAAATCAGGGGAGCTGACTGAGCGGTGGACCTCACTTTCACGATTGTCGTGTCCCTTTGCCCGAATTTATCAGACGATCTCAAACTTAGAAGACAGCACAAATGTCCAACACCTGTGCAAATGCAAGAAAACCACATATACGCATACAGATGCAGACACAGAATGCCCTACAAGCGTCAACCTTTAATCCATTCATAGCAAGTCACTCATGCCCCAAACCCTTAAAAACAACATACCTTCGTAACCATGACTCTTTTTACCCCAGCCCCACACATTTCGAAGACTCCCGAGTGTGATTTGGACAATTTCGGCATAGATACATGGGCAAGATTTATCTGTTATCTTCTTAGGTCTTGTCTTAGGTGTGGGTGTCAAGCCATGGTGGGAGTTGAGTCGGAGTTCTACCGACCTGTTATCCAGAGATAACAAAATTATTGTTCTTACGGATTCCCCCGTAAGTTCTCCGAAGTGTCGAAACCTGTAGACACAACACAGTCCAAGAGAAACTTAATATCTCTCTTCCTGACTGAGATCTAGAAAGTTTCCTTCTAGACTCTGTGTTTTCTGTCTGACTTTTATCCTTAACTAATCGTTTGGGTTGTCGCCTTTCTGCTTCAAGTAGTGAATAGTAATTCACCCCCTTTTTTTTTTTACTGTCATAGTAATTCTTCATATCCCTTTCACTATCTTATTCCTATCCCTTTTCTGGATTATCCTGTCTGAGTTTCCTTCCTTCTCCCAACACAAAGGAACACATCATCAATCCAACCTGTGGAAAAGAATCTAAAGGAAAGAAATCAGACACATGACAGTCTCTCTCTGAGACAAAATCTCACTTATCCCCTCTCAGTAGAATCAGAGATAGTTAGTTAGGACTGAACAATGCAGATTGTGGAGAAAGTTAGTGGTGGTATAG